CCCCCCCCCCCCCCCCCCCCCGCAATTCGAGTTCACGTTTTGATACAGACCGATATAGAGCAGTATACCGGTGTAGGACACATGCAGTCAGCCCACCCGTTCAGCAGACGCAACAAGAGAAAAGCGCCGTTATCAAAGCTGTTTTTGCGCTGTTCGAGAAAGATGCGTGTCGAGGTACTTCCCCTTGCCACGATCCGCCCAGTTGTTGGAGATTTCTCTCAAGTATGAAATACTTCTGTATTGTAACATAGGCGGGGTAGTCCGTCTCGACAGGACCACTGAACCACTCCCTGATACCAACAGCAGTGAGGCGGCACCCACGTATTCCGTGGCACGAAAGAGGGGCGACGCATATTTACAGCAGACACATTCGCTTGCCAAGATTACATCCGGAAGTGGGTCTTGGGTGCTAAACAGGGGGGGTGATGCGGGAAAACAAGTGGGCACACTATAAAGGTCCTTGGCAACGTGTGCGTACTTTGTAGAGCAGCTTTGATGTGTGTGCTCAGGCAAACAGCAAGATATATGATATCGCCCAAGGGGAAATGTGGCGATCGTGATTTCTGCGAAGATGTGGTTGCCTGATCACAATCACAGCGAATCTACACGCCCTCTAACCACTGCGCGGTGTAGCTGCACATCTGCAAGTAGTAAATTTTTGTGTATACATCCCCCATCTTTTGTGCCCTTAACCGGTCCACCCTCGAATGCTTGCCATTGTGCGTTCGGCACTCAATCGCCCCCTTTCTTTTTCTGGAAAGTATCCATCCATCCATTCAAAAAGAAAGACGGCCCGTTCGAGATATACCCACAGCAGTCGGACGGATGTGCTGAAGTCGTTTCAGTGAGTGGATGGAAACCGGCCGGAACTAAACTGGGCTTATTTTTGAGTCTGTTGAAGCCCATGCACTGAATTGTTCTTTCGTTTTTCCGTCCATTTGTTGTTGTCGTTGTCGATGTTGTGGGTGTACTGTAGCCTCCGAGAAGCACCGCGCCCCCGACGGTCGCCTCGTCGAGATCCGAAACGTGTGGGCGGACAACCTCGAGACCGAGATGGTGATCATCCGCGAACTTGTGCAGGACTACCCCTACGTGGCCATGGTGAGAGCAGCGAGCGAGTCGGTCTGCCTGTTGGTCTTGGTCTGAAGAAATCGCCGTGCCGGGTTATCTGCCGTGCTCGCGCGGGTGGACGCCAGCCCCCCCCCCCAGAGTGACTGTCGTAGCTGGTTTGCTTTACCATGACAAACCGAGAGGGCCTGAAATACCTGCCGATTTCGAAGGAAGCTCTGCACAAAGCCGTTCCGAAACCACACAGCCTTGGTTCTCCTGTTGGTTGGGGAGCGATCGCCTTGGTCTAGCAGGAGGTGGTGCCATCACTCGCAGAATCACGCCTGTTGCCCTGGTGTGCCGCAACGGCAATCTTGACTCAAGCGTGCCGTGCCCGTGCGTGTACACGCCGCTATGGTGGGATAATCAGGACACCGAGTTCCCGGGCGTGGTGGCAAGGCCCGTTGGAGACTTCAACCAGCCGGACTTCCAGTACCAGACACTCAGGTGGGAGGGGGAAGGGATCAGATAGCTTGTGCACCTTAATAAAATCACGAATATCAGCGGCTTTTTTTGTCTGAGACCCTCACAACAAGGAGGAACGGTCAGCACTGCGCCGACCGCCTTGTTTGATCCGTAAGAGGAACGCTCGACACGGAAACAGGCAAGCGGCCGCTGCTTGCCTATTCTATTTACAGCAGTCTCTCTCGCTCTCTCTCTCTCCCTCTCCCTCTCCCCCTCTCCCCTTAGTTTCTGACTCTCGGTCGGCCCTCTCGTCCCCGTCTCTCGTTGGCCCGGGTGAAGGTGCAACGTGGACATGCTCAAGATGATCCAGCTTGGGCTGTCCTTCGCCAACGAAAAGGGAGAGCTGCCCGAGGATGGCTGCTGCACGTGGCAGTTCAACTTTGCCTTCAACTTGAGGTACGGGGCGGGGCCAAATTTCCAAGCGATCCAAGCTAGGAGGCGGGGGGGGGGGGTTGTGAGACGTGTAGAGCGCCATGCGAGGCGCACCCAGGGGGGGCGAGGGGGCGAGGGGGCAAGGGGGACTTCGTGTTTTTCTGTTTCTCAAAAGCTTATTTTGATCAAGTATTCGTACGATGAAAGACTACCCGTTCGAGTTAAAACCATCGTCGAAGGGATGGTTTTAAGTCTGTCCTGCTCTCCGAATTCGATTGGCATTTCACCCCTAACCACGTGCGTTGTTGACCTTTGTCGTGTGGGTCTTGTAGCCTGTCGGGATATAATCGTGGGACGCACAAGGCGTGCGGGCATCGGTACCGGGGGGATACACGTTTCCTCTCCAGGGTCGAGATCTGAGAGAGGGCATACAACGATGGTGGTGGCATAATGTCGTGTTGGGGAATGGTCTTCAACGACCGCTGAAAGAGAAGAGTCTTCCGAGGGCTTGTGCCCCCAAGTTCAGTACAACACTATTCCTCCCCGTCGCCGAAGTATGTATACAAATACTTCTAGGCATATACCTCACTCTTTTCCTGATGTGAAAAATGTTGGAGGACATGTGACGCGTCGCCTGATCTCTGCGCCCGTTCCTGTTTGCGCCCGTTTGGTATTTCCCCGCTATTGTGCGGCTATCACTGGTGTCTTTATTTTGCCAACGCACGATGGACACGATCACTACCACCACTTCCAACGCCTCGTCTTGCCAACGCCGCCACACGATCAACCGCATCGACCAACGGCCATCCATTCAACGGTCATCGAACTGGACACGGTGGTGCTTTGCAGCGAGGACATGTACGCGCATGATTCCATCGAACTGTTGAAGAACTCCGGGATCGACTTTCAGGTTTGCCCTGTGAAAAAAGCGAATGTTTTCCTTTGGTGTCACCTTCGTGTTGATGTTTTTTGGCTCTCGCCATTCCCGCTGCTATTGACTGTTCTTTGCGGAGTAATACTTCACTTCGCCGTTGTTAAAGGTGGATTGCGGGTATGTCGTGTCAGCGTTTTTGTCGTTACCCTTGCTACTTTATTTTGTCCATGAGTAGCCCCATAAGCTTGTCGCAGAACTCGTTGTAGAAGCTTGGCAAGGCCCTCAGTAGTGTTCAGTGTTGCCCACACCCGTTGTCTTTCCGTGACGAGTAGGGTTTCTGCTCCATTTCCAAAGGGGATACCGTAGCCAGTGGTCAAAAATGTCAAGCCTTGCTATGAACCCCCCTCCCGTCGCCGTCGCCGTCGCCGTCCTCGAGTACGCGTGGTCAATGGCCTAACAACTAAAGCATGCAAACATGAGTACGCCTCCCCCCGCCACCGTCACCAAGAGCGGACGATAAATCGAGCCCCGCCCTCAAAGCTTCGGTGAACATGTGTTGGTCGACATTATGGGGTCCTGCAGGGGCACGAGCGCAGGGGGATCGACCTGCAGGACTTCGGGGAGCTTTTGATGACGTCCGGCCTAGTGCTTCTGCCCAATGTAACCTGGCTCAGCTTCCACTCGGGATACGACTTTGGCTACCTCATCAAGCTCCTCACTTGCAGCAATCTTCCCACACAGGTGCGTTGGCCTGCATTTTGGAGCGGGGGTTGCACCGGTAGTCGTAGTAGCAGTGTTGGGCACGTCTACGTCTGTCGTCGGTGGTGTGGTTCTGCTTGGCATGAATGAATACCTTTGATGGTAAGCCGGGGGCAGAGGGGGAGCGGGGCTGAGACCGCTCAGGAGGAAACAAAGTCTAGGGGAATTTCCGTCACGACGTTGCAGTTGTGCTTTTCTCTGGAAACCCCTTTGTGTACGAGGGGATGTTGAGGCGCGCGGTTCGGCTTATTGTTTTTATGCAGCGGTTACATATATATATATTTGGTCCTTGATCGAAATGGACGTGAAGATAGGAAGAACGGCATTTCGCTCATCGCACTCCCGCTTTGTGCTGTGTACCAAGCAATGTACCAGGCACGCGTAGTATGCGCGCTTCATGCGGCCGTGTACGGCAGCCATTCCCGGTTCAATGCGGTGTTGTGTACACTTTCTTTTGGTAGTATTGTGTACAGATGGTACGCGCCTCGGGCGCTCTTTTTTTGTAGGACTCTCGCGGGTGACGTTCAGGAGTTGTTTTTTTTTTTCTCGTCGAGACGCTGGGCATTCTCTGGCAAGACATAGTACAGCAATTTGGCGCAACCAAGAACAACGCATACAACAAGGACCACTTTTGTTTTTTGGGTCCAACTACGACGGAAGGACCCGCGGCTCTGCTGCCTTGCAGGTGAAGGCTTGCACCAATCAAGTCAAAACAAATCTTATCAAATCGAGATGAGTCCACCACCGACCGCAACGACCGTGATCGTTCCTTTTTCACCATCGTGTACATGTGTGTGTCTAAAACATTAGCATCAACCGCGCCTGCAGGCTGACCAATGACAAGACGTCAGTCTCAGTGCGATTGTGTGTGTTTTCTGTGTGTTTTCTGTGTGTTTGCAGGAGAGTGATTTCTTCGACCTTTTGCAGCTGTACTTCCCCAAGATCTACGACATCAAGTACCTGGTGTCGAGCCAAGACGGCTTTCACGGGGGGCTCAACAAGCTGGCAGACGACCTCAAGGTGACTGACTGACTCACAGACAGACCCAAGGGGCTCCGGGGCCAGGAGTGGTAGGCATATCGTGGGAAACTTTTCGAATTTTCCTCCACCGGGGGGTGAAACAGACTCGCCGATGACCTCAAGGTGACTGACTATCAGACCCTAGGGTCTCCGAGGGTTAGGAGTTGTATGGTCGGCAGGTGTGTGGTGTTGAGGTCGGAGTTGCCGGGAGAGGGCGTGGATTTGTGGACGATAGTATCATGGGTGGAAAAGTCGAAGTAGCTCTCCCTCCAAAAGCAGAAAGCAGTGTCTGCGAGAGCCGTTCCGGCCATGTATCGCGCTTGTTCCGAACACGGACATGTTTTTCCCCCTGTCTTCATCCTTGTGTGTTTTGTAGTGGGATGGGCCATGTGATGTGGATCTTTCTGCAACCCCCATGATGATCGGCATTTCCATCGGGAATGCTCACAATGGTCGTCTTGGTATCGGTTGTTTTCGTTGTTGTCGCATCCGTGATGATTTTGGCGTTCATGTCCCCCGGTTCTTTTTTTTTTTTTGTAGGTGGAGAGGATCGGGCCCATGCACCAGGCAGGGAGCGACAGTCTTCTCACCGAACAGGTGATGTGTTGCCATTTGTTGTATTGGTTGTTGTTGTCATTGTTGTTGTTGTCATTGTTGCGGTCGCGTCCTGCTGCTTCTGCTGTCGCTATCGTTGCTGCAGTAGTTTGTTGGTATAGGTCCTGCTCGGTTGGAGGCAGGTATGGTCGTTTTCCTTGCTAGTGCTACTGGTGTTGTATTACCGGTTATTTTCCAGGTCTAGAGGCAGCACGAGCCAATGCGCTTCGATACAGACGCTCGAGATAGGGTATGGGTTGAAGACTGGCTTCGGTGACCGGAGAACCCGTGCTTAAGCCCACTGTACGACCCCTTTTGGTCAAAATAGAGAGTCAGGGTTTCAAAACGCAAGATTGCTTGGCACATCTCTCTCTCTCTCTCTCTCTCTCTCTCTCTCTCCGTGTTCTCATTCTCTCCCCCCTCCTTCTCTCGCTCTGACACCCGTGCCACTGCTGCTGTGTGCTTGGGCAAACCCACGTCTATCGACCAGGTCTTCCTCAAGGTGGCGGACGTGTACTTCAACGGCGTGGCCAACCTGGATTTAGGGAAGTCTCGCGGAAAATTCGCCGGGCAGCTGTACGGCTATGGCGGCAACCAGACGGGCATTTACAGGTGCGGGACTGCTGTTGTATGGTATATACTATCACACGTGCTTCTTGTGCTCTACGTCGGATTGTGTGTTGTATGGCCTTTTTTTCGCCTTTTGCTAACGGGGTTTCGTGGCAATTGTTCATTTCTTACGCACCTGTGCACTCCTTGGGGAAGTGTTTCTCCTCCCTCAACGGCTGGCCATGTCTAGTTGCCACGGCAGCCCGTCATGCAGCTGCTGCACAACCAGCGGAGGTTTGGAGCGGACACAAGACTGTTCACCCCGTGGTGATCTTCTGCGCCGTGAAACCACATAGTTGTTGGCAAGCGCTTGCCAAGAGGGACGGAAGAGGGCGGCAGGCAGGTTGCAAGGCTGATTTGCTAGTCTCCCGATTCGTCTCAGAGCTTCATGTGTCCCCGTAGTCGATGGACAACACGCGACTCTGGCCGGAAGCAAAGCGAGACTCCTCAATTCACCTCTCTTTTCACCTCACCCCCTCCGTCTGGGGGCACCAATTCCAGGCCAGGAAGCAACAACAACAACGCCAACAACGCCAAGCAGAACAACAACAACGGGGGGGCGGGGGGCGCGGCGGCCGGCGGCACCCTGCCGGCGGCGGCGGCAACAGCGGCGGCGGAGGCGGCGGTGGCGGCGGCGGCAAACAGCGGCGCCACCGGGACCAGTGCCGGCGGCGGAGGAAACACCGCTACTGCTGCAGGGACGGCGGCAACAACCGCCGCTACGACGGGAGCAACAGGGGACAGTGCCACCGCCGCTGCCGCTGCCTCCGGTTCGTCGGGGGCGAGGGCGGCTTCGACGACGGCGGGGACCGGGGGGCGGGGGAACATTGTCAACTCCTCCGCGGCGGCTTCGGCTATGGCCAACCCGACGGCCTCGGGCAACCCTAACCCCGGGGAGGATGACTCTACCTCGGGGGGTGGGGGAGGCGCCGGCGATGGGGCCGCCGCGGGGGAGGGAGAGGGACCGGGGGCATCATGATGGCAGGGTCGGGGCTTCGTGTTGAGTACGGGGGGACGTGCTGACTTTGCCGCCTTGGCCCTTCTATTGCGGTCTTGTTGGTTGCGAGGATGTATGTCACGAAAGCGCCATCGATGCCTTCGGCGACACGCCTGCTCCCAAGGCTGGGATGATGCAACGAAGGCTTGACGTGGCAAATGTTGAACAGCCGTGTCGGTGAGATCACGTATGATCCACGGGAACCATCGATTTCGACGTTGGGTCGATGTTTTCTTTAAGAGGAGGCTGAGAGACAGGTCGTCTAATTTTACCGCATTTGCACAATGCCGTCATCTTGTGGGCTAGGACCGATTTGCCCTTCGCTTCGACACGCCAGGCTGCCAGCCGGGAATCGGGTCGCCCGTGTATGCAAAGTACGCCCGCTGATATTAGGGGAGGGTCTCACTAGAAATATGTGTATCGTACGTGTTCTTTTTTTTCTTTTTATTGTGAAAGTGATTGGGTCGTTCGCTGTTTGTTCTGGGATTCGCACTTGCAAGTTCTCTTGCTACCGTGGGGGGGGAGACGTGTTTGCCTCCGTTCTCCGTTGCCCATTCGGTTCCTTGCGGAAGGGAGCACCCTGGTTTGTGCTGTTTTTAGTTCGGCGGGTATTGGTACGTCTGGGAGCGTTATTGTAGGGGCTTGCTGCTCAGGGGTGTATTCGACGAACCAACAGGGAACAAGAAAAGACAGCGGGAAAGAGTCAGTCTGAAGGGACAGCGATTTTCGGTTATTGCTATTCTGGAAAAGCACTTGTCGCTTGTCATGTTTCCACGGGGAGCTGGTGGCCTCGGCAGACAGAGAGACGTTGAACAGCGAGATGTTCAGGTGCCAAGTTTCCTATCACGTGTAAGTCGTGACCCAATTTCGCGTGCTGATAACTTTCGGTGGAAAATCATTGTTTCATGTTCGAGTATTCCTTCTTCCCGTCCCCGTACCCGCCGTGCGCCCGAAAAGAAAAATACAACGAGAAAAATAAGACTAAGAAATGCAACTATCTACTGTACGCATACTACAACGCCCCCCCACCCCAGATCCTCTCGTAAAATAGTTTGGTCTATATGTTCAAAAGTACAGCAGCAGTGGAACACTCACTCGACTTGCACGCTTCGCAATCCACGAGATGGAAAAAAAGTCCGAAACGGAGAGTTAAGCGACATGCCGGGGCCGCGACAACGCCGCGGAAGGTTCACTACGTCCCTACAACCTCAGGTACAAATCCGGTGCTACACGCGCTGCGGGCCTTGCACCAACAGTGAGACCTGCCCACCCCCTCCGTCCCACTTCCGCTCCGCATACTACATGCTGGCAGCTTGGTACTCTCTTACCGCCATCGTCGTATTCCAGAGCAAGACCACGCGGAGTGAACGGCTGCTTGACCGCACACTGCCGGCCTCTCGTGGGAGGACAACTTGCAAGACATGGATCCGTTTGGCGCAACAAGCGGGAGGCAGAATCTCACGGCAAACAAACGTGCGTGGATGCTTGAGACCGACGCGCGGCATTAGTGTTTCCATCTTCCCTCCCCCCCCCCCCCCCCCCC